AATAGGGGCAATGCAGTTAAAAGCGCGATTCTACCTAAAAGCGAAAATGGGTAAAATCGAAAAGCAGTGAATCAAAGCGTAAAAGCGTAAGTTTTTTATGCATCCTGTATAAGTGTTAAAAAAAATTTAAGTACGACATAAACTATGTAAAATATGAGTGCACAGAGTTTAGATAAAAGAATAAATACCTGCAATTCATGTCTAAATTAGAACAAACTCATAACATCTTAACAATAACTTCATAAACATAAATCGTAACCCACATACGAGTTAAGAATTCAAATTCTCACAAGCTGGTTTAAGTTTACATAATAACATATGAGTTTAATAATCCAAGTTCTCGAAATCAAAGCACACAAATGTTATAATGGATAGAAGGAAAACTACATCAATTCATCGGTCTCTACAATCTCCCATCATCAAAAGTTGTCATCCTTTTTCATATTATGAAAACTTAACCGTTGATTTGAGAAAGTTAGATCGATGTAGGATCCAAGCGGGAAACGAAGAAACCCATTTCATTTAGCTTATACGAATTTGGAAAACAAAGAACCAAAGCTCCAATAAAAAAAATTATGAAAAAGCAAGGAATTAATGGATCAGAACGAAACACAACTACTCAAATTGATCAACTTTGATCATCTGGGGAAAGTATCATCACATCCACAACGAAACACAACTACTCAAATTGATCCAAATTTTAGAAATCATCGCGGGGGGGGGGGGGGGGGGGGGGGGGACCATCAGAAACCTAAAACATAATCCTCAGAAGCAACATTGAAGTTGTTGTACGGTCCGCAACTCCGCATCATGGTTTGGGCACGATTTGGCCACCCGCATCACCTGGTGGAGCAGCGTCGAAGCTGTTGTACGGTCTGTATAATCTGGCATTGGTGAAGTGGCGACGGGCTAGGACAAGGAAGGAAACTAACCTGTTGTGGCGCCGGCGAGTTACGACAGGCGATGAGGAGTACGATGGGCGCTGCCGCATTGGAGGCTTGGAGTAGCTATCGAGTGCGACGGTTGGAGCTTTGCTAGCGGACTGACAGCGATGGTTGTATAGCCTTGTAGCAGCTTTGGATTCTTCGATGGAGCCTAGAATGCCTGCCTCGCGGCGGCGACAACAGGAGATGACAAGTGCGGAGGGCTGGGCCTGCCTCGTTGGAGTGCTAGAGACAGGAGATGAAATATTAGGGATTGTGGAAGACCTCAGCCCAATATCCACCCCATTCCCTTTTTTATTTTCCGAAGTGATCAAAATTGCATCATTTTGGTTTGGTGGAGACAGTTTTCTCCTTTGCTTGGAATCGGAGAAAATCGATCTAAAAACGCATTTATCCGATTTCAATGATTTTAACGATTCTACTAACACTTTGACCGATTTTGAGTGAAAACGATTTTATTAGTAAGTTGAAAGGTTTTCCTATCCTAAAAACGTAAAATCGTACGTTTTTATGCTTTAAAGCACGATTTTGACTACACTGAGTAGGGGAACATAGATCGGCCCGGGTTGAAAATATAAATACTTTCTCTATACTGCGCCCTGCTAGAGTTTAAAAACTTGGGCTCTAGTCGGGATTAATTTGTGGTGTAGTTTCGTGTGAGTAAATTTTTTGGCGCCGTCGTCAGGGACCTTACGGTCCGTTATCCAGAAAAGGTCGCTTAGTGTAACTCTAGCATTTTAAATCATGGTGGAGCGATTTGTTCGGGGCACCAATGAAGGGTGCTCTAGAATGGACCTCCCAATCGCCAACCTTATCGACTCAACCTTTCTTTAGGAGGCGGAGGAGCTCCATCGACGCACGGAGAGGCTAGGAGGGCTTGTAGAGCAAGCATGTGCACAACTTGCTCACAATCGCCTCCTACCATTGGAAGAAAGAGAGGAAGTCGAAGAGGCTAGCCATGAGACCTTTGGAAGAATGAGCTCCGGCATGGATTTCCAATCCCTCCCTCCTCCTGGTTTGACACTAGTAGAGAAAGTGGCACGAGATTGTGAAAGCTATCGCCTCTCATTATTGGCGGAGAAAGAGGAGGTTGAAGGGGCACTCCATGACAACTGTGTGGAGCAAGAAGAACTCACCCCGGAGAGCTCTCGTGGTGAGGATGAACAAGAATGTTGCATTGATGACTCTCACCACTTTCCCCTTCCAAGAGCAAATTTGAAGACCGAGTCACGAGTGTGGAGGAGCAAGAGAACCATTTCTATGATATTGCATGGCAACTTGCCCTCCAAACATTGCTTAAAGAAATGAAAGGGAAGTAGAAAGAAGAGGTTGAAGAGGAGGAAGAAAGCATTGAAGAGCGGGAAGATCTCGAGTGTTCCCAAGGGGAGGAAATTGAAGAAGAAGAAAGGGAGGTTGAAGATGAAGGAGAAGGAGCAAGTGGTGTCCAAGATGAGAACGAAGTCGTGGTGGATGAAGCTTCAACAAGTTACAAGTGCGAGCAAAGCTTTCCACTCGACCTCGATGCACTTTTGGAGATGGACCCATTTGCGGCTCTTTGCCAAGCCAAGGCCGAACCATCGGTGATCCCTCTTGGTGGATGCGATGGTGGTAAATCGATGATGCACTACATTGTAGGGCGCAAGGAGAAGAAGGAAGAAGGAAAGAAGAAGAGGTCTCATGGGTGGAGCCTCAAAGCCACTCAAGTTCCCAAACCCTCAACTTCAAAGAGGTTCTAGGGTGGACCGAAACTTGAGGAGAAACCGTCTGTCTCACGATGTTAAAGAAGCGCTTGGTGGAAGGAAACCCATCTAACATCGTTTTGTTTCCTTTCCGCTCCAATGAGAACACTATTGGAGAGATTTTGGCGGTGTTTTGTCGTCTCCTTGCTCTTCCGGATCTCACCCGACCTCCGATCCCGACCACCAACATTCACATCGTATCCGGTAACAACATTCTACCCCTTATTTTACGCCATTGAGGGCAATGTTGAGCTTAAGTGTGTGTGGGGGGGGGGGGGGTAGTCCATTATGCATGTTGGTGTGAATGATTGGTGTGATTTTGAATGCTTGGAGCCTAGTTGTATGCCCAAATTTTTAAAATTTGAGGGCTCCAAGCATAACAACTTCTACATTTTCATGATCATAGTGGCATCTTGTGGTGATTTGTTTTGGATCTCGTAGTTATTAGTCTGATCTATGGATGATTTGATTGTGATTGTCTGCATCATAGGATGACGACTGAGACGTGTATTAGGTTTGTGCATAGGTTCATTTCTCATGTGTTTGTGAACCGATAGATGTTTTGAATCACTTACATGCTTTTCGCAGTTGCCTATGCATTAGTTTAGGGAGTCAGAACAAATGATTGAGTACCTAGGCAGCCATGTGAGACTTGTGCCTTTCGTTTCGTTCTTGTGCGATAATTCCCCCTTTACATGATGTATAGCACTCACGTTGTTGCTAGCGAGGAAGATGTAGGCATAGGTTTAGTCCACGACCCAAATGTTGGCCGTCCCGATCTTATTATCCCCTGGTCAACCCTTTTGAGCCGTGTGTCTAAGGTTCGCTCTCATTTTAGGTAGCTCTCGCTACTTGAGCTTGATTTATTTAGATAGAGAGACCCTACTTTCTTCGTGTCTACACCGTTATCGAGTCACCCTTGTGAGTGGAAGCTCCATTCATATCATTTGAGCTTAAACGAGGTTCCACATGAGTGATTTGTGTATGGTTTTGCTAAATAGTGATGTGAGTGTGGAGGCAGTTCTTAAAAGTGAGCATTGTTCCTTCAGTTAAAAAATGTGGCATGTTTTTAGCTCTCTTTAGCCCTGAAAGAAAATATAAGAAAAGCAAAAAGAAAAAAAAAAGATCAGTAAGAAGGCAAAGAAGAAAAGAGAGTGACCACCAAAAATATAATAAATGTTGAACATGCTCTTAGAAGTGTTGCTTAGCATGCAAGCTTTAGGAACACTTACATGTTGTTTGCCTACCACACTCTTGAGCTTGAAATTGAATAGCAAAGGTAGAAAGAAAGATTGTTGCGAATGGTTTGGTGATTGGTTGTGGTTTGGAATCGAGGGAAGTGTGGTTTTTGGCCGATGCTAGTGGCCATTGAGTATAGGAGAGGGTTCTAATAGAAAATTTAGAAGCTTTTCTGGTTTTAGGATGGAAATGTGGAACCTTATGCTATGTTTGCCACCACCCAAAAAGCATTTTCCTCATGTCCTAGACCCTAGCCAGTAATTTGAACTTGTGTCTAATACCTCCGGACAAGCTAGCAACGATACCCATCTTGTGAGCTCTAACATTTAGAGGCTATCGTCATGGTAAAGGGACGTTAAGATTGAGCATGAATATGCACATATTTTGCGTCAAATGGTCCTGACCCCACTGGTCGAGAGTGAGCGATTCTTCATCATGTTTTGTTCATTTCTTTTACCCCGGTGAGGACCTAGGTTGCTCGATCGTTCGTTCCTTTGATGTGATCTTCATGAATGAGTAACTGTGATTGGTGAGTCGTCGAGGCATGTTGAGTGTTGGTTGATGAATAATGTGAGAACTCTTCTTTTGCACAATCTTAATACAATTGAATGTCGTTTGTGGTGGTTGCCAAGATTACTTTGTTTTTGTCAATAGGTTGGTGTCAAATAACCATTGTGATTCATTTGGTTTGTGCCCTATGACATGCCACAAAAATTATGTTGAAAAAGAAGTTGTAATCTTACCTTGTTTTGTACTTGGTTTGCTTGGGGACAAGCAAACGTCTAAGTGTGAGGGTGCAATTTATGTTAAATGTTGTACTTAAATGAGTATTTGTTATTTTGTTTGTAATGCTGTATTTTATTTAGACCTAAATATAGATTGCAAGTAACTTGTCTTAAAATCAATGATTGAAAAACCGTATGAACGTATCGAAGGCCAGAAAAGTCACTAGTAGAGTATTTTATGCTTGACACCGTGGTTTAACCTGGTTCAACTGTTTCTTAAGGCATTTGTCGTTTTTCGAGGCAGCTTCTTCCCCAAAGCTGCATAAGTGTGCCTGTGTGCGTGCGTTGCGAACAAAAACCTTCCCAAAACCCTCCCTCTCCAACTCTTCCGTCATTGCCTGTACTCGCGGATCTTATCGGCGAACGGCGAACCAGAGATAGACTATTTCTTAGTGGCGGGACGAAAATGGGATTGACGAATTTCATCATTACCATCGCCGGTGTCAGCGCGGTGGTTCTCCTTCTGAGGAGCGACGTCAAGCAGTCGGCCGTCATCCTCCGCCGCAACGTCAAGCACATCCGAACCTGGCTCGAAGAAGAATCTGCCGCCGCTTCCAAGTAAGCCTCTCCATTTTCGGCGGGGGGAAAGTTCGATTTCCCACGTTAATTTTGCGCCGTTTGTTTGAACTTCGATTTTGAATCCAATTTCTCAATGTGAATCTATTTTGCTTCCAATTTCTCTCCTCCGAAATTTGCTTTCTTACTGGGAAATATGCTAGTTCAATAGGCGCATGGCGGTTTGAATGGATGGGTTCTGGATTGTTAGGGATTTGGAAGAGCTTTTTCACGCCATCTCTTTTGTGATTTTGAAAATGAAATTTCTGTTCTGGGAGCAAGCTAAGTAATGTAGACTCATTGTGCTGCTTTCTTTCTACTTGAGACTTGAGAGTTTGAGAGGCGCAAGTAGAATAAATGGTGCCTTAGAGGCTTTGGCTACCTTGTATTTTCAATTGCTTCTTTTAGAGGGTTTACACCAGCTCTTGGAAATATATAGAGGTAAGTGAAGAACCCTTTTGCATAGGAGCGGGTGTGTTCATAATTCTGCCCAGTCTATGTTATGGAGGGACAGAGTTATGCTGTGGATTTTGCTCCGTTTGTTTGAACTTCCCACGTTAATTTTCGGCGGGGGGAAAGTTCGATTTCCCACGTTAATTTTGCGCCGTTTGTTTGAACTTCGATTTTGAATCCAATTTCTGAATGTGAATCTATTTTGCTTCCAATTTCTCTCCTCCGAATTTGGCTTTCTTACTGGGAAATATGCTAGTTCAATAGGCGCATGGCGTTTTGAATGGATGGGTTCTGGATTGTTAGGGATTTGGAAGATCTGTTTCACGCCATCTCTTTTGTGATTTTGAAGATGAAATTTCTGTTCTGGGAGCAAGCTAAGTAATGTAGGCTCATTGTGCTGCTTTCTTTCTACTTGAGACTTGAGAGTTTGAGAGGCGCAAGTAGAATAAATGGTGCCTTAGAGGCTTTGGCTACCTTGTATTTTCAATTGCTTCTTTTAGAGGGTTTACAGCAGCTATTGGAAATATATAGAGGTAAGTGAAGAACCATTTTGCATAGGAGCGGATGTGTTCATAATTCTGCCCAGTCTATGTTATGGAGGGGCAGAGTTATGTTGTGGATTTTTCATTCTCCCACTATATGGATTGCTGTTGCGACTTGCGAGGTTTAGAAATTGAATATGGGAAAGAAGTAGTTATTCATAGTAACTTAGTAAGGCATTCTCTTGAGAGATGGCTGCTTGAATGTTTGCGTTTTGCCCCTTTTGCTGTCATAGAAGTGGCTACAGGAGCCTACTTTCTATCAGGCGATTTGGTACCCTTTCGAAGTCCAAGTAATTATACCTTTTTGAATATCTCTTGTTCTGCAATTTTGGTTTTCTAGGGTCATAACAGGATCAGGTTAGGATTATCTTTGTTTTGAGGGGAGAAATGGTGGGAAGAACAACACTTTGACAATCTGGAAGTAATTTGTTCATTGTCTTTAGTTTCTATTCTTCTCTATGCTTGGTGATTAGCATATAGTCAATAGCTATATAATGACTCTCTAGTAGCGACTTCTACAAGCGTAGTCCTACTTACTGTAAATAGCCTAGTCTTTGGGGGACTTGAACTGATTAATTATCCAGTTTGTGCTATTTAATTCTGTTCCGATGAAGGTGCACAACACACTTTTAGGCGGCTGTTGGTTATATTGAAGTTTAGGTAATAAACCATCATGCGGTGAAACTTGAATAGATTACGTCCAACTGCTATTGTGTTGCTCATATGATTGTTTGATCCATATGGAAACGGGACTCATGGAGAGATTGTGATTTTGCTCGGCATTTCTTTTAGCTTTTACAGTCTACTATATGTACTAGGAGTCTCTCAATCTACAAGACATAATTTGACCTACTTATTATTGACAGAGTTTGAGTTAATGTAAAGCGAAACTTATTGAAGGGTATTTGTGTTACTTTTTCAGGGCTGATAAGGCAACGCCAAAGGAACTAGAAACCAAGGTTCCCCCTAAAGAAACTCCCAAGGAAGAGAAACTCTAAGCAACACCGAGTCTCAATGGCAGGGAAGCTTGCAATGTCTAGATAGGCGTCCCAGGAGTCTAGTTAAGCTACTGGTAAATAGTTTCGGTCCAAAAATTTTATGGATTAATTGCAATAGCAGATATTTTGTCGAATTCTGGTCTCACTTTTCTCTTGTAATTCTCACTCATTAAATTACGTTAATTCTCATTCTCATCTAAACCAATGTTGTTCATGAATACAGAGGATGAACAAATTTTGTTCAAACCTTGAGATGATAAACCAATCATGGCATTAAATATACCTGATGTGGATTTTGCCATATTTAACGATCCTCTTAGTGTTGGGATGAACCAATTTTGCTAGACATTTTGGTCAAAGACTCTGCGGCCTATTAAATAAAATACATGTGTGAATTGTGATTATCAAATAGGGGAAAAAAAGAGATGATGAACCAATCATGGTAAGGAATATCCCCAATGTAGATTTTGCCCTATTTAACGAATCCTCTTATTGTTGGGCTCCCATGGAAAATCATAACGACTCAAGCCCTATAACTAGAGCACTTCTATTATGCTATAGTAATTGTACTTTAATATACAATTTGAAGTTGTACCACAACATTAAATGTATAAGTTTAGGCTATACCATAAAGCAATTTGTAGTATTATGTTATGGTACAACTTCACATAAAAGGTACAAGTTCAAATTTTACCATAAAAGAATTTGTACAAAAAGTATAGGTACAATTTGAAGTTGTACCATAACGTTAAAAGTACAATTTCAAGTTGTACCATAAAAGCAAATGCATATAACATTGGTGCTATAGAGCATCGTAAAATTTCTCCAATAACTAAAGGTTGAGAGCTCCTAGCGATAAGGAGCTGAAACCAACTTTCCTAGCTAAGGTTAGGGCCTAGGGGTGTCACGTGTACAACGGTTCAGTCCAGTTCGTTGGACTAAATCAAATTCATAAGAACTGCAGTTCAATAGTGAAAAAACATCTTAGCACAAAATACCATATCAATATTACATTCAATTTGATTTTGTCTAGTTCAAATGTCAATTCGATTATTTTTATTAATTATAAAATATGCTACCAAGGACTGGACCATGTCCATATTATAATTGGTTTCAGTATGATCCGATCCAAGTATCAGTTTGATTTGGTGTGTTCCACTACGGACCAAACTGTTGCACACCCCTAGCTAAGGTGGCCAAATGCCTTGATGTAGAGTCATGCCAACCGAGTTTGACACAACGTTAAATGCTAACAATAAGTCTTAAAGTTAGTCTCTAGGAAGGCTTGGAGCCCTTGACACAACATCAAAGGCATAGGTTCACCACCAAAGACACTATAAAAATCACCATGGTGAATACTTAATGATAACTGAACTACTCTTCTATATACTAGCTTTCTTACCCGCCTGTTGGGAGGCGCATTTGTAGTTGTGTTTAATATTTTTTTCTAATGTTTTTTTATGATTCATGTATGTTAAATTATTATATATTGAATTTTTAATCTCACTTGAATTTATATATTTTTATGCACTTTTATATCTTTCGTTTATTTATGAAAATATAATTTTATTAAATGCGCCCTCGGTAGATCTTTCTTTATTGATTTATAAGTTTGTATCGAACCCAGAATTTAGGATATAAACATAATAGATTATTAAGTTTTTAGCACACAATAGTGACAAATAAGTTAAAAAAATTAATTAAGCAAATATTTTTCAAGTACTAAAAAAATAAGCGATGAGCTTTTCTTTTTTTCTCCCTTCTCGTATGTTGGTATATGATAATACATAATATCACACTCTGAATCCCACTAACATCATGAACTATGAGTTACTTGTGCAATTTTGGAAGAACGAGGATACGTATTGGCATCCACATCATCAATTTTCTGCTTTTTTGTTTAATTTATCTTTAAAATGCTCTAGCAAAAACAACCAAAAATAGAATTATCAGTTGTCACTAATTTATCAAAACAATTTTTTTCAACAAGCTAAACTGCATATAAACACAATTTATATTTTGTAGAGAGCTACATACCCTCTACAAAAAATAATGGTGTATTTTTTTCTACCTAATAACAACATAGATAACATTGTAAAAGCTGCATAGTTCAATAAAACTCTACTCATTGTAGCTTGCAGAGTCCTCATTCATGAACACGATTGATGCATCAATCCAAATAGCTGTTGTTAAGAAAACGATTAGGCCAAAATCAAGCTTTACTTAGGGATTCACTTAGGCCAAAATGTACGCTAAAAAAACAGACATATATCATTGAAAACGTGTAGAAATTGAAAGAACGTCTACATAGAAAACTTAGAAACCACCATCACCATATTCTTTCTTCTTCGAACCTTTATAAAACCCCACATGTGTTCCTTTCTACTTATAACCCTAACAACTCTGCTTTCATTTTTATCATCCATGGAATCGGGTTGCAATAGGAAAGTAAAACTATCGATTATTCAACCCAAGGAGTGATACTCTAAGACCAAGCAATAAACCCTTCCAATTATCTATTACATGTTTACATAAAAGTATATGACATAATAGAGAACCATAAAACAACTACTTGAAAAACGAAGAATAAATACATCCGTTGATTTGAGTAGGGAAATTTACTATCCACCTTTGTCATTTGGAAGAAATTAAGAAACAATTGGAAATAATATTTTAACCTAGCCAGTCAACCGCAAACAACCACATATCTTTAGGAAAAAGAGACCATTTGTTAGCTGGAGATCAAGGGGGAAGATGGAGCAATGTCCTCGGATTCGTTCGATTCATCTTCGCAATGATATGATGAACTTTTTTTTTTTTACAATAGTCAAATATATATTAGAGTTGTTCAATTGTTTCCCACCCTCATATTCTCTTACAAAGAGAAAAAACTCTATATGTCTTACTATTTCCTTTTCTATATCTATTTGCAAAAAAGTATAGAAGAGAAATGCTAGAAATCTCAACATTTTAAGCAAATAAGAAAGAGGTGTATTTGTTTTTATGGGGTTTGATCCAATTTATTTATTTTCTTATTTTCAATGTTGAGATTTATTTTTATAGAGAGATTTGTATGAGAAAAGGGAGAGGAGCAACCCAAAATGTTGAATTCCTTGTTATAAACTTACTTTACATTTTATTGATAATGATGGCAATTTAAAGAGTAAAAAAAAAATGTACAGAAGCAAGAATCAAAACTTATCTATCGTGGAAGGGTGAAAGATAGCCATGCGCTGATGTGACAATAATTTAGTTTTAAATTCCTATAATATTAAGTAATGATAATAATGCTTTACAATTTTGTGAATTCTATTATAAACTTTATGAATTTATACAAACATGTGAAATATCACATACATTTGAATTCTTGGATGTATTGTAGACAAATCTATTGTAAATAGAAATTGCTTACTATTACAAAATAAAATATTTTCAATTTGAGACTTTGATATCGAAAACGTTTTTGTTATTGCCAAAAGTTGCCATGGAGTTATAGACTCACACCATATAACCAAATGAGTTATTACAATTGCATTATTAAACTCATTCTTATTAGAGATTCTTTGGTTCAACTTCAACCCAATACCTTGATTTAGATTCTTGTAACTATAAAAGGTTTGGATTTTGCTACGGTGACATGCATGTCACCGTGACATGGACTTTTCGGTCGACCTAATCCTAAAGGCGGTCGACCGAATTGACTAATTTGGGCAGCACGAGAAAACTTGCGGTCGACCTAATCCTAAAGGCGGTCGACCTCAATTCATAGCATAATTGATGAGTCCTTGTTATCATTATTTATGACTAGTTATGATGGTTTAAAGCGTAATTTAGACGAGCAAAAGAACCACACAAATCGACATACATAAGCAAAAAAGACACGGGGCATAGGTTGACTTTCTTGTATTCGGTCTACCTCGTACCGGATTAGGTCGACTTCGACACCAACACTTGATCTTCATTTTACGTCAAATGATTGGATAAATTGATAGAACACTTATCGTCTATCTGGTCGACCTCTTTTTTTATCTGGTCGACCATGTTGTTAATGACTGCCATCAAGTGGTCGACATATATACCTTTACGGTCGACCATGTTGTTTCTCACGCCAACGAAATGACCGACCGAGGTTTATTCTGGTCAACCAAAAATAACAACTTAAACTAAGAACGGTCGACCAGGTGGTCTTTGAGGTCGACCGCAATGCTTTCTCGTGCTGCTTAAATTAATCAATTCAGTCGACCGCCTTCGGGATTAGGTCGACCGAAAAGTCCATGTCACGGTGACATGCATGTCATAGTAGGCATACCCAAAAGGTTTTTGTTTAGATATCTCAACCAATAAACTGATGTTTATTTATTGCCTCAATCCTCGAATTTTGATTTGTCTTCATTCTAAAAGATATTCAACTATTAAATGAAAATTGTCAACCTTTATTTGATCAATTCCTAAGTCTCTGATTGATGAAACGTGATGTTTATTGTATATTCTCAACAAAGATTTCTTTAACCTTTACACGTTTCATTTTTTAAGGTAACTTGTATCTCGTCAGAAGGTATGAATTCAAAGTTCGTCAAAAATCATGCTTAAGTCATTTTGAAAACTTTAATGTATAATCCTCGACGATTGTAAAACGCTTGTTCTGTCTCTTTCTATAGTTAATAGACAAATATAATATTATTTATGAGCGTACTTCTTTAAATTTTTCATCAAAATGTAACTTATTATTAAGTTTTGGTTAAAATGAGTATATAATTTACTTGATAAGATTTAAAACATATATTTTTTTGTTTAAACAAATACGATATATGTAATTCTCTGTTTCCATCTTTATATTTTGTTTAATTGACAAAATATTGTTATCTATGCTTGTTTTTGTTTACATTCTCATGAAGATGTAACTTATTATTAACTTTTTATAAAATTAAGTATAAATATTAAAAGAAGAGAGATTGCTTCATAGATCACTAATAAATTTTGTTGGTAGCAAAAAAAATTGCCACTTTTGCAACTTGTAAATTCTCGAAGTGCTTATGTGGCAAAAAGTTAATTTTGAATTCCCATAATATATAGTATAGATAGATAGATAAGCACTTCTAATATGCTCTAAAGTATGGGTGCTTTAATGTACAACTTGAAGTTGTACCATAACGTTAAATATATATAAGTTTAGGTTGTAACATAAAGGAATTTGTACCCTTATGTTATGGTACAACTTTACAACTTAAAGTTGTACCATCACATATATGTACAAGTTCAAGTTGTATCATGAAAGAATTTGTACAATCTAAA